CCTTAAAAATTTCACTAGAAGAAGTTGTTTTGATGTTCAAATTTCTTCAAATTGATCATCTCGACATCAAGATGCATAGACATGAGAAAAAAATGGATTGCAAGTTTTGGAAATAGTGTATTTTGTAACACATTTTTGGACAGTCAATTTTCAAGATTTTCATAGATATGTCGATCTACACTGTTTTTTAAGCTTTAAAATTTATAAATAAATATGAAAATATATTTTAAGGCAATCATAAAAATTTTCAATATTGAAACCACATTTCATGACTCTATGTAAAGGTAGTCTCTAATTTGATTGTTTAGAGCCTAGGCTCTATACAAACCAGATTTTATCTTCTTCTTTTATCTGTATTTGCCAAAAACCAGATTTTAAATCGAATTTGGAGAATATTACAACATGTAAGAGTCTATCGAGTAAATCTTTCTTATTTGGAATGAGATATCTAATCCATTGTAAGACTTTATTGAGGGGTTTATAATTAATGACTAATCGTGGAACTCCTCGTTCTTGCTCAGCATTTTTATTGACATAGAAAGCGGAGCAGCTCTAGGGAGATGAACTAGGACGTATAAGTTTCTTATGGAGTAAATCTTTTATTTCATGATGACACATTTGTAATAATTCTGTCTTCATTTGGATAGGTCTAGCTTTTGTCGGTATCTTTGTTTCATTAAAATTTGGTTCATATGGTAATCCAACAATATGTTGTTTTGTATGCCAAAAGGCGTTTGGTAAATCATTACATATTTCGCTTACAATAAAACTTTTGAGTTGTTGGATTTTTTGTATCATATCATTAGTTTGGAGTTTTTCACTGATAATTTTATGTTTGATTTCAAGTTGTAATGATCCTATAAAATTTTCTTTTTGTTTGATATTTTGTTTGACAGTATTGATTTCTTTAATTTTGGGTTTATCAAGAAATTCAAATTTTATAGGGGTACCATGAGTATTTATTTCAATACCTGTATGGGAAATAGTAACTGGATATAATAATGTGAGGAAAGGTACGCCAAGGATTACAGCTTGGCTGAGTCCTTTGACCATAATAAATGGAGTAGGAAAACAATATCCTTCAGTACAAATTTTGGCATTAGATAACTTGTATTTTATGAATAGTCTACTGTCATCTGCAATATTAAGGATTTGGGTAGTTTTATCAAAGTATTTTGTAGAGACTAATCCTTCATTGAGACAATTCAGATCAGCACCTGAATCTACCAAGGCTAGAGATTGGAATTCATATTCATCATTTATGACAATAGTTATTAGCACAAACTATTTTTGTGTGATTACTCGGTTTAAAACATTTACTGATTGTCTGGTGGATGATTCGCATTTAGTTAGATAATCATTGGGATGATATGATTTGAGTAAATGGTTAAATTCTATGACATCTGTATCACTATCTATTTCGGAGGTATTGTCATGGAGTTCAAGGATTTGAATTCTATTTTTTAGTTCGGATAATTCTACCTTAACTATATTGACTTCGGCTTTGAGTTCAGCAATAGTAGGTTCTTTTTGGGTGGCTTCATGCTGACTGATACGTTTCATGATATCAGAAAAATTATAATTATCAGGAGGTTTAACTAATGGCATATGTTTTGTTTTTGTTTTAGTTAAATTGATAAACTGAATAATTATTTCTCATTTTTCGTCAGGATCAGATATTTTTTCTATTAAATCTAAAATAAGATTATCTTCTTTTGTTAATGTATGAATATTAGAAGTTGTAATAGGACATTGACATATTTCGTCTTCTGTATTAGAACTAATATCTGACCAATAAAAATCATCATTATGTATTGTTCCTATAAAAGAAGTATCACTACTTGAAGAGGTAGTGTCTGTATCGGAACTATCAGACGAATCATATATTTGAATAATATCATAGATTTTATTTTTGATAGACTCATCTAATGTAATGGAGTCTAGTTTTCGTTTGACTTTGCATTGGCTTTTATAATGGCCGACTTTGCCACATTTATAACAAACGGGTAATTTCTTTTTATTCTGTTGGGATGATTTGAAAGCAAAACGTTTCGTAAATTTTCTATATTTTTTCTGTTTGGTTGGAAAAGACTTATGTGTTTTTTCGGGTTTATTACGATGTTTTTTCTTTTTATATATTTTATGTATTTTATGTGGTTTAGTTTTATCTATATGAATTTGATCCATATGATAGCCAAATTGTTGGCAGAAATCTCCTAACTCTTTTTTACCACTTAAATTTTGTTTATCAAGTTACTTTTTGAGTTTCAGATCTGTACATAGGGCTAAGCCTTCAGCATAGATTTCTGAAGATAATTCTCCTAAAATATATTGAGAGTAATTGATTACACCACTATTTTTATTTTTCAGACGTTCTTTAACTTTTTCAACAAATAGATATGGTAATCCTGTCACGAATTTTTCTTTCCAGTGGTCAAGATGACTATCTTCGCGTATGAGTAATCGAGAGAAAAAGACGTCTTTATACCATTTGTAGTGTGATAGTGTAGGACATTGTAAATTAGATAA